TGTGGGCAGGTCACCTGCCCTCTATTTCCTCCTCCGTCCTAGGTCTTCCTGAAAAATGCCTCCTGACCACAGATGAGACCTGCTTGCAGATCTGGAAGCATTCCCAGCTGTCTCTCCCTTCCTCCTTTCCGATATGGGGCAAATGCATCTTCCCTAACTATGGGCCAGTCTACCCGGGCTCAACTTCATGTTCCTGCCTGTCTGGGCTTCATAATCCTTTTCTTTCTAGACCCTCTTGCTTCTTAACTTACTCTCTTCTTCTTAACTTCTCCTTCCATCCTAATAGAACAGAATCATAAACCTTCCTTGGCCCCACTTTCCCCTCCAGCTCCTACCTCTTGCCTCTCCTCATCTTTGTAGCTTCCATGGCCTCCCCTACTCACAGCTCAGTCTGCCAGAACTTGGCCATGCCCCCAACATGACCCTGACATTCTTCTCATTAAGATCTCCAGTGAGTCTATCTTACTTGACCTCTTGGCACTGATGGACTCAGATGACCCCCCTCAGGACCCTCTCTGGTTTCCTCTTGGTTTTTGGGACACTCCTCAGATTCTTTACTTCCCCTTTTATTGCATGAGTGTTGGTGTTTTATCTATATTCCCCCCAGGGATGCTCACCTACCTCAGAGACTCTCTACCAGCTATGCTTATGACTTCCACAGGCCTCTCTGGCTCAGTCCTCTTTGCTCTGCTCCAGACCCCAAATTCTAAAGGCTCACTGGTCATTCTAGTTTGACATCCTATAGGCCCTTTGGACTCAGTGTGTCCATGACAAGACCCAATCTCGCCCCTCCCAAGAGTGCTCCTTCTTTAGATGAATAATTGCACCAATATCCACCCAGTGATGTAGACTCCTGCCTCTCCTCCCCAGGGGCAAGGACTGGGTATTTGGTCTCTACCATAGACTCCCCTCCAGGCCTAGCACAGAACCTGGGGTACAGCAGATCTTTGGTAAGTGGATTTCATAGATGGATGGATGACTCCCTCTACTTCCTTCCCCATGAGGACTTGTCGGCTCAGTTAATGAATGAGAACATGTTTGCTTGGCGACCATCTTTTCTAATGGTGTCAGCCAGGATTGAGGCTGACACTGACCCTGATTCAGGTCATAGCTCCTCAGGACTCCTGTTTGGGCAAGAGTCCACATTTCCAAGCAGGAACCCTCCATTCCAGGACTTGTTTCTGTAGTCTCTGACTTAACAAAGGGTCTCTAGACTAGGACCCAAAAGGGCCACATCACCAGTGTGTGGAGGAAAAGGAGGCTCCTGCCTGCACGGGGAAGGGCAGAATCCAGCCTATGCTGCCCTGGATGGGTGGGGACAGGTTCTTTGGTGACTGAGGGCAGGGCCTCTCCTGTCTTGCATCCACCTTGGCCCCGTTCCTCCACGTGGAGGGGAGTGGCTTCCCCAGAGTCAGAGGCCTGGTGTGGCAGTGTGGTCCCTCCCTCCATCAGTCTGTCCTGGGGAAGCACGCCTTCTATTTTCTGAGAAGTCACTCATACCTGCAAGCGAGGCTGCACCACTCCCAGTTCTTTGCTGCTGTCTATTTTTATCCTGGCTCATTTACCCCATGTGTTTTGGAAAACACTGATATATACACACACAACAACAGTGCTGCCAAAATTCTCACCTCCTCTCTCTTGCAGGATTTTCCCTTGAAGGCTGGTGCTCTTGGAGAGCCAGTGCCTGCCTTGGACGGGGCTTTGGAGCCTGGAGCCAGGGCCTGGGGCTCGGCGCTGGGCAATCTCTTCAGCACTGGGCTCACCACAGCACTGTAGGAAGCTCTATCTGCTGGCATCCCGTGTGGTGCGCCCCTCTCTGTCTCTGGGGGGGTCTAGCCCCAGCTCTCTTGTCTGCAGGAGCCTGAGCTGGAGAGTCAGACCCTCCACCCCCCGAAGGAGACATGAGTCCCCTCAAGCCCATCATTGAGTCCCTTCACCAAACCGTCAGCAGTGTGCCCTGAGCCTGGCCACTGCCTCCAACCAGGCGCCAAGGGTGGGGGTGGAGCCCTGGATCAGGAGCCTAGAGTGGTCAAGTCCACTCACCCCTGCAAATGAACCCTGCCTGCCTTCCGCAACAACCCCACTGCCACAGAGTCTTGCTTCCATTGACACTTGGTGGCTCTCCGTAACTTTCCAGATGGTCCTAGTTCTGTCTTGTGGGCCCTCAGGCACAGAGGACAGGGGGCCGTCCCCGTTCTTTCCCAAACCAGGACCGGCTCCACGAATTGTAAAGGCACATCCTGAAATGCAGAGAGCTGGAGCTCAGGAACCGCCCAGGGACATGCGGGGGAGAACACACAAATCGATGCCCTACAGTACTAACTCCCCTGCCACCGCTCTGCACACGTGCGTGCACACGGACGCACACGCACGCACACACATGCACACACGTGCGCACACACACACGAGGTTAGATGCGTCTCCAAGCTTGCATGGCCCTTGCCCCTCAGGAGAGCTGGGCCACCACTGCCGAGCGGCTCTGTTCACTTCCAAATAGCCACATGAGCGTCAATCAGCCTGTGGGGTCTAGTCCGGGGTTTGGAACAGCCTGCCCGGCCTGGCCCGATGGCTCATACTTCATAAAGTCTTTTTTCAGATTAAAGAATAAATGACAGTGTCATTATATAACCCTAATGCCCAAGGAACAGAAAGAGCCAGAAACAGCTTGTTGTTTTGCTTTGAAAGTCTCAAAGAGTGGTCTCCAGACTTTAAGGTAGTGGAATCCAGTTTTGAAACAAAAATCTCCCACAGACACACTCACGTATGCAAATGTGTAAAATGCAGACAAGTGAGGTGACCTGTGGCATGGAAGGGGGCTGGGGGCGGTCAGTTCTGCCCAGCCACACTCCCCTCCCTGCCACGTGTCTGGGTGGCGGGCACTTTAGGAAATCTTCAGAGCAGCGTTTGAAAACCACTGACCTAAGGGAACAAAGCCCGTGTGCTTTCCCCAGGGGCCTACCTCGGGGCCCTGTGTTCTGAACCCCATGCACTTTTCAGTAACACAGCAGTTGATGAAGTGACCTGAGGCCCCTGTCTCTGGTGGAAAGAGAAGAGGAGGCCTGGCCCTGCATCCCTGAGTGGTCCTCTGTCATGTCCTGTGCCCCTGGTGCCCGAGGGAGCAGGGCTGGCAGATGCTCACTCACGCAGAAACACGGAGGCTACATTGAGCACCTGCTCACAAGGGGGATCTGACCCCTGGGCGAATCCCATGACCCCAGTGCCCTACCACCCGCTTTTGCTCTCCAGGTCAGGCTCGGACCCGTTTCCTTGCTGGGGACAGCCACCACCACCTGGGGTGATTGCCGAAAGCCCAGTTTGTCTTAGAAGTTGTGCAGCCATCGAGTAGGCTTCCTGCCATTTTCCCCAAATCTTTGAGGATACTCCCTAGAATCTTGGTGTTGGCCTGTCAGAGAGACTCGCCGTGGATCCTGCACGTGCTCCAGGGCCCCTTCCTTAGTGAGCTGGTATCTTCTGTAGGCTTTGAGTGAAATGCAGAAGAGTGAGCCCTGGGAGGGGTGGTCTCACAGTGTCAGGAGGAAGGGTCTCTCAGATGACTGCAGCAGCATGAGAGATTAGCTTTGGATGTCTCGCCAAAGTTGATCCAAGAAGCCTCTTCAGCCACTGCGGTATGTCCTGGCCTGTGGCAACCCCAAGTGCTTGCAGGGGTGGGGTCGGTTTATTGCTGCGACGGACTTCTAATTTTCTGATGCCAAGCCTCGGAATTTTCCTCCTGGTATGAATTTGTCATTTTAGGGGCCCCTAGAAAGCATCCAGGCTTCACCTAAAATCTCAGCAGAGGTTATTTCTAGGGAATTTCTCCATATCCTGGATCAGTAAGTCAGAGATACACCTGAACTCTGTGGACCCTCCATGCCAACGTGGAATGTGTTCTAACACACCGTGGGAGTGTGGCTTCTCCCTAGGTCTTGTTGATAAATCAGGGAGTACATGTGGCCGAGAGGTGAAGCCTTGATTTATGGGACAGGAGGGAGGGAGAAGTGTTAGAGAAACTTGAACTCCAGATTTCTAGTACTTCTTTATGCAGGGGGTCCTGAACGGGTTACCTTGGTCCAGTAAAATCAAGGAGTGGGGATGTGTCCCCAGTTCCAGGGTGCTAAGAAGCCACAGGAGATGGCCAGGCCAGCAGAGGGATCCTCTGAGGGTGACCATGGGCTTATGGAGCCTGCATGTGCTTCCCTCTCCCATCACTCCCATTATGCCCTTGAACCTTGTCAGGGGAGGTGGGTTGCTATGCTGACGGAAGGGGACTTAATCTGGGAGAAAACCTGGGGGTGGGGTTTGACATAATGCAACCATTGCCCCAGTTCCTTTCCATCAGGCAGCACCTCGCAGATCCCTGTTTGACAGGGGGGCAGCAGAAACTCGGAGGCTACCCTCAAAGCTGCTGAAAGGCAGACATATCTTTGTTTCATGACATTACCCTCATGATCTCAGGGACTGTAGATGCGGGAGTGGAGCCCCTATCATGGTGACATCGGGCCCTGGCCTCAAAGTCTTGGAGGAGGCCCAGTGTGTGGAAGGGTTCTTTTGCTGAGAACAGAGGCAGCTGGAGGTGGCCTACTCTGCCCAGTGGGCACCCCCCTCCGCCTATTCCTTGCTGTCTGAGGGGCAAAGGGAACCTCCTCCAAGGGCTAAACTTCTCTCCTTATATTCAGATAACCTTTCTGCCAACACTGCAGAGATCTGGGCCTTCACCAACACCCATGCTCTTGGTAGGCAGGTGTCAGGGGCGCCCTTGGGCATCTCCTTGATGCTGACAAGCCACATCAGCAGTGAGGGGGATATTGGTTCCTATGAACTGTTGACAAGAGTGAAAGCAGCAGAGCTCATCTTCTTCCTTATCCACAAGCTCCTATGCCCTTCCTTTTCAAGTACAGATATTTATCATCTGAAGGCATCTATCCTTCCACCTTCCCCCTCCCTGCTCCACCTCCCTCCCCACCTTCCTTCCTTCCACTCTCCCCAGATTTGCTGAGCACCTACTAAGGGCAAGACTCCCTGACAAATCTCAGGGACACATCAATGAGTCAGTTGAGTAAGTCTTGGGCGCTGTAGGAAGGAGTCTACAGCCTTGAGCGGAGGCGGTAAAAGCCAGTCTCATAAATGGTGTTGAGTCCTGTAGAGGAGGCTGTGTGGCACGAGAATGCAAAGGAGGGGCCAGGTAACTGCATCTGGGGGAGGAAAGACAGCTTCTCAGAGGAGGTGACCCCTGAGCTGCATCTTGACAGGAGAGATTTTCAAGCAGAGAGGGGGTGCTGGGCAGAGGGTCTGGAATGTGCAAAGGGGGAGATCAGACTGGATGGATGGGACCATTTACTGTGTTCCTCACCAAGGCTGGCCGTGGTGACAGAAATCAGGGCATCCTCATCATCCTCCCACGCTGGTGCAGCTCTAACAGGCCTCCAGGAGCCCTGTCTCCGCTGTGGGTCCCCCTCCATCCAGGAGTCCCCCAAGCCCTGCATTTCAGGCCTGGCAAGTGGCTGACTTGCACATCACTAGTTCGGGGCTTGTTTTCAAGGTCTGGAGCTGAACTGAGTCATGGAGCTTGTAGGGAATGATGCTGAGTCGGGGCAAACCTTCTCAAACAAGGAACGGGCAACTGGGGTATGGCATTATTAATCTCAAGCAAGTATAATGTTAAAAAGAACTTGGGGAGTGGGGCAGAAGGCTTCCAGATTTTTCTCTAAGTTTTTTATCTCTCCAGGAGCTGCTATTGCCTTAGGGTGGGTGGGATCTTCCTTCCTAGCTAATCTTAGAGCCTCCTGAGAAAGCAGGCCTCAGCCCTTGCAGACAGAAGCCCCGGAGCAGAGGTCAAGGTGGAGAAGGCAAGCAGAGCAAGCCTGTTGGACGTCATGTGTGGGTCGAGTTCAGGATTTCTGAGCTTTGTTTCAGGCACCAAGAAGTCTGGTGATGGCCAAACGGAGTGTCAAAAGATGAGATAAGAATGGTTAGAATCAGAGGCAAGATGACCTCTGATGAGGTTTCCAGCAACTTCTCTCCCCCTCCTCTCCGCTTTCAATCCTGAAGGTGGGTGCTCACAGTATTGGGTTGGGAGGCCGACGAGCCCAGTGGGAAGCACTTGAGAAGCCATAATGTTGGTGCTTCTGTTTTCCAAAGATGTCTTCCTCAGGGTCGGGTTTGCCCCAAGGAATTAGTTACCTGACTCCTACCGTGTGGTCACACCACTGCATCCAGGTCCACATCCTCTTAGGGCCCCGGGATGGGGCTGAACAGGGCGTGCGTGGGGCCCGCTTACTGTCACTCTTCACCACCCATATCACTGGGTGTCCAATCTGTGATGATGCTTGTACGAAACGTCCTTCCCACTGTGGCCTCCTGCTTCTGCCCAGGAGTGCTCCCACTGTCTGCTGTAAGAACTCGCCATTCTGGAGCACTGAGCTCGTCTGCCCTACCATGCGGGTGCACAAGCTATTCCGTCCGTCCCCTCACTGCCCGCTGGTGCGCTCACAGACCTCTGCACCCCAGCTCAGGCACCGTCTCCATGGGAAGTCTCTGTCTCCCTCCTGGGCCGCCCTCCACCAGCCCGAGTGGTCCTGTGTGCTTCTGCTGCTGGGGCTTGTGTTCTAGGAAGACACCCTGGCACCCAGCCCATGCGCACAGGATGGAGACTGAGTGGGAGGATGGATACATGGCGTGTGGCTGAGGGCTGGACTCCGGGCCTATTCTTACCGTGTAAGCTTTGGGGTATTTCTTTCCTGGAGAGCAGGCAGGCTTTTCCTGTGGCTCCTCGAGGTGGCCCACTAGGCCATTCTTGGACTTGGGGACCTAAAGCCCTGTTTTCAGCTTTCATCTTGGTTTCCATTTTCCCTAGAAACAAGAGCGCTAATATGTAAGCCCCATTTCTGCTGTTTGCGTGGCTGGGGTAGAGGCGCATGACTTGGATTCCACCTTCTGAAACTAAATGTGGTGGTCCCACAAGGGAGGACCTGGGATGGGGCTGTACCCCCAGTATCTCAGGCTTGTGTTGGCCAGGGACAAGCCCTGGAGCATACCCCAAGAGTGGATGTGGGTGGTCCAGGAGGGGGAGGTGCTCCTCTACGTCCCTGCAGGCCGCTGCTCCGGAACAATGAAGGGCATGTAGCAGGTGCAAGAGTGTCCCCTCCACCACCCCCCATTCACGTCCACCCAGAAATTCAGAATGTGACCTTATTTGGAAATAGGATCTTTGCAAATATAATTAGTTAAGGATCTTAAGATGAGGCCGTTCTGGATTTAGGGTGGGTGCTAACCCCAATTACTGCCCGTCTAAGACCAAGAGAGGACCCACAGAAACCCAAGCCAAAGGACCCCAAGACTTGCCAGGAGCCTCCAGAAGCTAGGAAGAGGCATGAAAGGGGTCCTCCCACAGAGTCCCTAAAAAGAACCAATCCTGTAGACAAGTTGATTTTGAGTGTCTGGCCTCAGAAGTGTAAGAGAATATGTTTCTGTTTTAAGCTACCAGGACTGTGGTAATTTGTTACAGCAACCACAGGATACTCGTACAGTGTGTGTGGGGTCTCTGGCCTCGCTTCTCCTCCTCCCTGTGGTCCCAAAGCTTCCCCACACAGCATCTTCTCGGGTATGTACATGCTACAAAAAGCTCACGTCTCACAGCTGAAACAAATGTCGCACGGACTGTGACATGTATGGGTGTTCGGGGGACTTGGGACACTCAACTCACGGCATCATGTGCTCTCCTCACCGAATCTGCCGATAGATCATTGCCTCTGTTCTCTGCCTCCCGGTGTGTGGTATTTTCCTTCTTTAACGTTAGATCCAGTAGGGGATGCAAAGAAACAAACACTAGGCTATGGGCAAAACTAGGTGTCCAGAAATATCCCTGATTTAGCAGCCTGGACTCGGGCAGGTCTGGGGGCACCAGGGTTGTTTGGGCTGTGACCACCTTTCCGGTGGCTTCTCAGCTCCAGGCAAACAGATGAGCCTCGTGTCAGTCAGCTTTCAGTGTGTAACAAGCCACCCCAAAACCTGGTGCCTGAAGCAACAACATTTACTAAGCTCATGATTCTGCAGTCAGCACTGTGGGGCCCTCGGGCACTTCTGGTCTTGGCTGGGTGCACGTACTTGTCTGCAGCCTGCCGCCAGGTTGGCTTGAGGTAGACTGAGCTACGGCGGCCTCATTAGGGGTGATGGTTGGACCGCTGTGGCTCAGGGTCACAGGGGCGACTGAGACCCATGTCTCCGGTGAAGGGAGGCTGTCAAATGCCAATGGCAGGGTTCCAAAGCAGAAGCCACAAGCCTTTTGAGGCCTGAGTTTGACACATCACTTCCTGGCATTCTTTTGAGCAGAGTGAGGCACAAAAGCAGCCCAGAATCAGGGATGGGGAAACAGACACTGTCTCAAGATGAGAGGAGCTGCCAAGTCACATTGCAATGCGCATAGTCACAGGAGAGGCAGAGAACCGGGGCCATCTTTGCTGACTGTCTCCCCTCAGCCAGCCCTTTCCTTGGTCAGGCTGGAGAAGTTCCCTGCGCTCTTTGCTGTCCTCTCTGTCCGGGAGGAGTCTTCCGGCGAGATGTGAAAGCAGAACCTAGGTTTCAGTACTTATGCATTCAGGGTGGACCTGTAATACATCATTCCAGAAACATTTCGTTCATCAAACATTTATTCTAACACCCAGCGTAAGGCCCGGCTAGAGACCCCCCCCTGAGGGAGGCTGGAGATTTTAGTTAAGCGCTTGGACTTTGGAGTCAGACAGGTCTGGCTTTGAATCTCTGCTCTTACAGGCTGTGGGCTTCCGGGCGAGTCACTGTCCTTTCTTGAGCCTGCTTTATTATCAATAAAATGGGGACAATAATGTCTGTCTTACCGGGAAGCTGTGAGGCCTGAATCAGATACCAAAGGTAAAGTGCTTAGTGCAGCACCTGGCCCACAATGGAAGCCACTAAATGGTAGCTATTATTATTAATAATAAATGTAGGCTGAGGGGTTGCCTAGATGAATGAGCATCTGGGCAACTTTCAGCCAAACGTGCATAATGAATGTTCCCTCCCCATCCCGGTCCCAATAAAATATACAAAGGGTCTAAGAAAACCCATTAACTGTGGCTAACTTTCCTAACAAGAAATCTCACAGCCACAGCCCCTTCGCGACCTGGGCATGGGGATGAATTAGTAACACCCCACTCCACTTCGGGGCTCCCGCAAGCCGCAGCCCTCACTGCGCCCACAAACTCCTCCATCGCCTCGCCACGTGCGCACGGAGGCGCACCTGCACCAGTGGCTGCCCAGAGGCATTTTCCCCTCGGTTGCCCGGACGATTCCGCCTCCACACCTGCAAACGGCCTTCTCTTTCGCCTGCTCTCCAAATCAAAGCGCGCCTTTGCTCTCCACGCCGCCTGCCTCCGCAGCGGAGTCGGTGGGGAGGGCGAGGAGAAAGCCCAGCGATTAGATGCGCACGGCCCCTCGCCGAGGCTGGATCTGTTTTTAGCTCTGCCTCTCCCGCAGGCGGGCCTGGCCTTGGGGTCTGGGCCCAGCCTGGTAGATTAGTAACAGCGGAAGCCTGTCAGTGCCCGATAGCTCCGGGAGAGGGGGGGAAGCGCTCCTTCCGCGCGCGCCGCGGAGTTGGAGGCTGGCGTACTTTTCCCTTTATTCTGTTGTAAATCACAGTTTCCCCTTTAAACGTGCCATTGCCTTTGTCCGGACGCTCTTTGTCAAATCACCCAGTGTGATTAAGAACAACAATAAACTCCCCCTCCATATATTTTTAGTGGAAAATAACACATTTCTAATCCGGAACTGCACACAGCAGGAGGATTGGGAGGACGTGGCTGATGGAAGGTTTTGGGGGCGGTGGAGGAAACCTGAAGCTTCCAGGAGGAGAGAAAAAGCTTCCAGGTTTTCTTAAATGACACTTAGAAGTTGGGGCCACTCCCAGGAGCCAGGGACGTGCAGGCGTTGGGGTAGTTGGTGTGCAGCGGCTTAGTTGCAAGAGTCAGTTTCTGGAGGCGAATGGGCTCCAGGCTGATACAATCTGTTGGCGAGAATGACTCTGGACTTGGATCTAACAGACTATAAAAGAGAGGCTCAGAGCCTTGTTTTCCGGCCTTGCAGGAGCCGGGGTGGTTTTCAATGAAGGGCAGATGTAGCCTGAGGCCTCAATCTGCCTCCCCCAGCCCTGCTGTAACCTTATTAAAGGATAAAAAGAAAGGCAGGACTTTTACCGTAAGAAAGAACCAGCATGGCCAGGTGGCTTCCCAGAGCCCAGAGGGGTTCCAGGAACACATGTGCAGAAGGTGGGCTCTCATCCTTCCGCAAGGGGGCGCCTGGGAGAGAGGGAAGGAGGCGGGAACCCGGGCAGGTGCAGGAGGCCCTGATCTGATAGGCGGGGGCGGGGAGGAGGGGCAGAAGGGGGCTCCCAGTTGGTGCTGCGTCTTAGGTCTTTGGCAGGTCAGCCCCCTGCCAGGCCAGCCCTCAGCCCACAACTCTGGCTGTCCACGCGGGACGCTCTATGACTCCGTGTGGAAGGGCACTGAAGTGGGGGCCCAGACTTCCCAACACAGCACAGCACCTGGAACCTGGGAGGGGCCGTGCGGGGAGGGAGAGGCCAGAGAGGCCTTCCTTCAGGTATGCACGGTGGTGAGTGGGGGACATGTTCTTTCCCCGCTGGGTTCAAGTCTTCCAGCACTCTCTTCCCTCCCCTACCTGGTCTCATGGCTCTAGTCTCTCCGGGGGCAGTCTCTTTTCCAGAAGGCAGCCAGGGTGGCGGGTGTAATCACAGATCTGACCACGCCACTCTGTCTCTGTCGAATCCCTCCTGTGGCTCCCAGTTACTTCTGGGAAAGAGCTCAAACTCCGCAGGTGTTCCACACACCTTCTGCAGTCCCTCTCGTGTTTTCTGCCCTTCCCCCCGCCCCTGGAGTCTGGTGTACACAGCTTGGGGTGTCCCTGAATGGACCCTGGGCTGCGCTGCATGTTTGCATGTTGTTACAGCCGCGGCCAATGCCCTGGCCTCATTCCCTCCATTCACCCCCAGGCACCCACCTCTGTGATGGACAATTCCGTATCTCAGATGGCTTCAGACTTCAGGAACGTGCAGGTCTCTGCCTGAGGACTTTCTCTGGTCTCAGGAAGACTCCGTGCCTGCTTACCAAGCGGGATAGCCATGGGGTGGGGGCAGGGGGGAGTGGTGGGGATGCCTCAGGAGCCACCTGCAACCAATGAATGAGGAGCCGGAATTGGAGACTAAACACCCAGCTTCCAAGGGCTTCCAGGGGACAACTGTGAGGTGTGCTCCTTAGGGTCTCTCAGAGGGCTCCCAGGGGGATTGTGTCCCCGTTGTCTTTACAGTGCCCCCATTTGTTCCTAAATGCATGCATTCCTCTCCCCCCCCCCCCCGTTGTTTTGGACTGGATGGTTGTGTCTCCTCATATTCTTATGTTGAAACTCTTAACTCCCTCTGTGGTGGGATTAGGAGGTAATTAGGCCATGAGGGTGGCGCCCTCATGATGGGATCAGTGCCCTCTTAAGAGTTTTGAAGGAGTTTGCTTCCCTTTTCTGTCCTCAGCAGGTGAGGACACAAGGAGAAGTCTGCAGTCTGTAACCTGGAGAACTGACCAGGCTCAAGCTGATCTCTTCTGGGCCTCCTGAACTGTGAGAACTCAATTCCTGTTGTTTATGAGCCACTCAGTCTATGCTATTTTGTGATAGCAGCCTGTTTTACTTCCCCAGTCCCTCACCAGCTTCCTGGGATCACCCCCCACCCCCCAATATTCCTTCACACCCGAATTCCCATCTCAGGGTGTGCTCTGGGGGGGGCCTGAACTGTGACACATCTGCTCTTCTTTCTGCCTGGAATTCAAACTTCTCCTACTTGGTCATCAGCTCAGGCGTTCCTGGGTCGCCTTCCCTGAACATAGCTGCCTGGCTCCGTGCTCCCAGGGTGTCTGGCTCTGTGCTCTGGCTGACTCGCTGGCTGGCATCATCTGTCACCTTGTGTCTGTGGCCCGGGGAATGGGTCCCCTCAGCATCAGGGGTGGGCCCCTCTGTATCCAGTGGCTGGCACAGCACCCGGCACATAGTAGGGGTTCAACAGGTATGTGTTTAGGGTGCCACCATGATGGAACACTTGCAAGTGCTGGCGTTTTGGGCTTAGAAACAGCAGTAAATTGTATTTTCTAGGTTTTACAGATTTTTCCTCCCTCGGCCAAAACACCTAAAAGAATCTCTTGAGTAATATCTTGTATTTGCACAGTGTGAGGGCTTCGCAAAGCACTCTTGTGTCGGGCTGAGTCTCACCCAAACTTTGTAATGAGCAGACAGCACTGCCCCATTTTACAGATAAGGTCACTGAAGCAAGCTGGCAGGCCCAAGACAATAACCATAAAGGTGGGGATTGTAGTACAGAGAAGTTAGGTAAATGGTCCAGAGGCACACAGCCCAGAGCCGGCAGGAGAGAGTCAACCAGACCCAGGCTTATCTTTCTGTAGAATCCGAGTTCTCTCCCCTGACCCTCTACCTGGAGTGGGGGCCTATCAGGCTGCTGTCAGGCTCTGCATGCGGGGGGAGGGGAGGGGCCTGAAAGGATGAAAGGATGAAAAGCCTTTCTCCACCTGGCAAACGTCTGACCTTTTGCCAAGGTCAAAAGTCCCCTCCCCTCTGCGCTTCCTCCTCACAGAGATCCTGTAAGCTGGAGAGTGCGGTTCCCCTTTTCAGAAGAGGAGACCCAGGTTCTCAGAGGTTCCAGGGACAGATCCAAGCTCTGGCCCTAGGTCAGAGTGACTCTTTCTCTACAGCCAGCCTATTCCTTTTTCCTATATATATATATTTTTTTTTTAAAAGATTTTATTTATTTATTTGAGAGAGAGAGAGTGAGAGAGAGAGCGCAAGAGGGGGTAGGGTCAGAGGGAGAAGCAGACTCCCCACCGAGCAGGGAGCCCGATGTGGGACTCGATCCCGGGACTCCAGGATCATGACCTGAGCCGAAGGCAGTCGCTTAACCAACTGAGCCACCCAGGCACCCTCCTTTTTCCTATATTTTATGCCCCAGAGCAGACAGCACAGGGGGAGGAGGATTTCAGGAATGTATTTTTAATGGCAGACGCTGATCATAAACCTTGGGTGTTTGTGTCTGCAGGACTCAGGGTTTCCAGCCGAGACGCAAATGGTGGGCTGGACCACTAGAGCTAAGGCAGTTGCTGGCCGGACCCCAGGAATATTTCCACCTCAGATGACCAGGGCTTTGTTAACGGGGAGGGAGGAGGAAGAGGAGGAGGAAAAGGAGGAGGGAGGAAAAGAGGTGACTGAGGGGGGATGGCTTCCCTTCTCTTGCCAGCCCACACCAGACCAGTCCCTCTGGGTTTTCTAGAACCTCCACAGATCTTCTTTCTTCTAAGGGTGGGAGGAAGATCACATAGAGGAGGTCAGACATTTGCCAAGTGGAGAAAGGCTTTTCATCCTTTCAAGCTCAAATGGCCTTGGTGGTTCCCTTTTCCCCTTCCCCACACCCCACTGGCTGCCGAGGCATCAATCTACCTCTTCAATAGAATCTGTCCCTTGGCTTCTTCCCATGTCATTCACCTGGACAAGCGGAGGAGCCTCCTTGCTGTCTCTCTGCGTCTCCTCCTGTCCCAAACCGTCTCTCCCACACTGGCCCCGGAGTGACCCCTTCCCAAATGCAAACCTGACCAAGTCACCCTCCTGCTTCAAGCCCTTTGTGGTTTCCTATAATAATAGTGTACATTTATAAACTGTCATGTGCTGGGAAGCCAGCTGGATTATAGTATTTGCTGATTGCCATGGTGTAAAGACTCCTACTATTTCAGGCTGTAATGTCCTGGCTGGCAACACTGTTGAATAGTTAACAATGGCTCTCCTTGAGTGGCAGGAGCGACTCTAACACATCCGGGGGTAGCCCTGACGGGGCGCCTGGCACTGCTTGAGGACTTTTGCCTTTGTCTGTGTCCTCCCCCCCGCCCGGTGTGCTCTCTCCTCTTACCTCTATTTATCCAAATCTTCCCCGTTCCCCAGTCTCACTTATGCCAGAATGCCTCCCTGGACGGACCCCCACTGCTCCAATAGTGGGAAGTTCTATCCACACTGATTTGCTCTCTCTTCATAGCGGGCTCCACATCCCTTCCGTGGTGAGAACGGTCTGTTGCAGGGGCTCAGACGCCATTTGTGAATTCTAGGTGTTGTTAACCCTTGTCAGGAATCAGGCCGTGCCAGTGAGTATTGCTTGAGCACTGGCGATGTGGTGTGTCTCAGTGCAAGAGCTCGTGCGGGGGAAATGGACGTGCCAGCCCTGAGCCCTGCCCTTGATCGTCGTGAGCATCGGGAGGTAGAAACTACAGGTCAGCCACTGTGGCACTTTGTGTTGTTTATCTCCTGCCTGAACCCGAGTCTCTTTCCAGTTATACTTTCCTCATCATTACAGTGGATGGAGGCCATTAATCCTTGTTAGCGGATGAGATGCCCATTAATGGGAAACCAAAAAAGGGATTTTTCAAGGTCAGGATGTGCCCTTTCAATGAAGAATTCAGTTCTATAAAGAAGGAAAGGAAGAATCACGGCTGTTTTTCCTGCCCAGTATCCAGATGGGTAGGCTGTCCCCCCAAATCCTGCTTGGAACCTGTCATCCCCATCCCAAAACTTCACCACTTCCTGCTTCTCTCTATGGAAAGACTGAGTTTGGTGTTAGAGAACCCTTAACATGAAAAGAAAAATGAAATCTGTGTTTTCTCCTAAATAATTGGCAAAATCTAAAAAATTAATAAAACCCAGTGCTGTCAAGGCTGCTACAAAATGACATTCCTGTCTACTATCCATGGGAGAGTACATTGGCCCAAACTTCTTTTTTTTTTTTTTTTTAATTTTTTATTAGAGAGAGAGTACAAGCAGGGGGAGCAGCAGAGGGAGAAGGAGAAGCAGGCTCCCCACTGAGCAGGGAGCCCGATGTGGTGTTCGATCCTAGGACCCCAGGATCATGACCCGAGCCGAAGGCAGATGCTTAACCGTCTGAGCCACCCAGGCGCCCCGGCCCAAACTTCTTTTTGGAAAGTCCTTTGGCATTGTCTGGATAGATTAAACATTTACATTTGAGGAATCTGTAAAATTTATGTAAATACTAACATGAGTGCATTAAAGATGTGGATTTTTTTTTTTTTTTTTTTGTAAAAGCAAAAAATTGGAAATAACCATTCTTCAGTAGGGGGCTGGTTGCATCAAAGGCAATATACTTATAAAATACAACAAAATATCCCATTTTAAAAAAGGGCAGTGGCTCTCTAGGTGATGATTTGGGTGATGGTCCATGATGTGTTGGTGAGGGAGGGTTAAAGCAAGTTGTGGAGTGTGGTGATGACCCACCTGAGCAGGGGCCAGGCCTCTTGTTCACAGCTGTCCCCAGCACCTGGGACAGAACCTGGCCCCAGGAAGTGCTCTGTAAATGTGCCTTCTAATACTATTGTCAGCAGGCTGTAAAGAAATGATGAACGAATCCTCCTTTGGAAAATCCTACGCAGAGGCATAGAGAACATTTGGAAGGAACCTCATGGAAATGTTAACGGAGCTTATGCCTGTTTGGGGTAGAAGTGGCAGAAAGGGATGAGACACCCAGTGGTATCTTGTACATCTCTGTATTGTTTGAATTTGTTATGGTTTAAATTATTTTTGTGATCGGAATAAAAACCAAAAGAACTGGAAAAAGTATCCCTTCACACTGACTGGCCTATAAGCATACTCTCGTATGTGCTGTTAATACTCCCAACACACACACTCTGGCCTTTGTGGGCCTGGGGGCTCGTCCAGCTTCTGTTGATTCCTGCCTGGCACCCTGTGGATAACAGGGGCTCTTCTGTCATGAGGTGGAAGAGACAGTCACAGGCACTGAGGAGGACAGCGCGCTCCGTGCTATGCCCCGCGCGTAGAAGTGGCTCATAACCATGAGCTGCCTTCCGCCACCCCGTGGAGTTTCACTCACTGACTCTCCCACTTACCTTTTTTCCGCCCCAGGGCCTTTGCTTGAGTTCATCAGAGAATAGTTAGCTCCTCAGACAAGGCCAGGGGTGAAACCCTCCTGCCCCGCTCCGTTATTTTGTGGAAACCAGGGTTCAGGAGGTTAAGTGACTTGCCCAAAGTCACAGGGCTTCCAAGTGGTGGAGATGGCATCTGCACGGAACTCCAAAGGTCCTCATGCTTTCCTTGCCCTGGGCTGCCCGGTGGGGACATGATGTTTGCCTTCTCTGGAGGACTCCTGGAGACACAGTTGCCTTTTGCTAAGAGGAAGGAGTCTTGGGTGGGAGCTTCATGATCTGTCAGAGCCCACCCTGTCCAGGGCCCCCTCCCTCTGGCCCTGAGAAAGGAAGGGGCTGGCCTGGAGAAGCATGCCCGCATTTATGGGGACTCAGGGACTTCCACCCCGAGCTGGTTCTCTCCGGCCACACACCCCCCTGGGCCAGCGCCCCCACAGAGAGGTCTTTGTTGGTCATCACAAGCCCGAGAGCCAGCAGATCTGGATTCACAGTCCTGCTCTCGTTAGTTGTGGGCTTTGAATTACTCAGGTGCAAAATGGGGTGGGGGAGATCTGCCTGTGAGAGGCATGAGAATTCGGTGAGCCAGCAGTCACGTACCTGCCCCTTGTGGGGCCTGGCACA